ATCCGCGCGGAAACCCGCGGGATTTTTAATATAAGATTATTTGGCCTGCATTAAATATCATCCGGCCTGGATTAACATTAATGGCCCAATTTCTAAGACTAGCTTAACAAAAAAAATACAACCAAAAAAATTTAAACGATAAGCAATAAATTAATTAATTTATTTATTTCGAATAACTCAATAAACGTATTATTTATTATCGCAAGGTTAAATCGGTGAAATATGATTTTTTACATGAATTTTTAGTCTCAATATATTTGTCACATAATGTTCGAAACTTTTTTGGGTGGCTGTTTTACCCCGGTCTGCATTTCTACGTAGAACTTTTATTTGTTTATCATTATATATATATATATATGCGTATACTTGATTAAATTTTTTTTTGCCGTTGGTATTTCCTACTTACTATTTCTTGTTATAATAAATATAACCATTATTAAGTCAACATTATTATAGGTGTTTAAAATATATTATTTTAACAAGAAATTATATTTCTACTGATTATCTTTATATATACTTTTATAATTCATAAAAAATTAAAAAACTTTAATATATTCCGCGCGGGTTTTTTAAAAATCTACGACTTGCCCATCACTATATTTCGTCACAACATTAAGGTGGTCTCATATGTAGAAACACAAGAAAACATGGTAAATATACTTTACAAACCTCGTCTATTATATCAAGAACTCACTATAACAAAAGTGGGCTGTATTTTGAAAGACTTGTTCTTTTTGTTATTTAAATCGTGAGTATATTTTAAAATTCCGGTCTTTATAGCTTCTATCGAATTGTTAATTAAGTTTATGAATGCATATTTGTCTATAAATTCAATTAAAATCGAAGCTTATTTTATAATGATCCCTGGACATGACGAGCATGAAAATTTAAGTTTGTATTAGTTGAGTTTGTTTTAGAAATCTACAATCTTTATAACTTCTATTGATTATGTGTTTGTGCTAATTTAGTTTATGAATGCAGATTCGTTTATAAATCCAATCATTGCCAAAGCTTGTTATAATTAACTTTTGAAAAATTTACAAATAAGAGCCCAAAAACGAAAATAATTACAATAAGTGCTCAAAATGAAAATAATTACAGATAAAGGCCCAATATTTGAAAATTATTACAAATAAAGGCCTAAATATATCGTCAAAATTTCTGACCGACTTAATCATAACGGTATCATGGTTAATTGTCTTAGTTCATGATTAAATAAGTGTTTTAGAGTTATCGTTCATTATTTAGAATTACAGTAAGATCTCTCTATAGTCACTTCCTCTATAATCTCATTTACTTATAATCACAAACATTTAAAACCAATTCATATAATGCATATAAAATTTAACTTTTATATAAACACAAAATTCTTGAAACCAAGGATGTGATTATAGAGTTTGACAAAAAAAAAAAAAAAAAAAACTGAAAAAAAATTCCGACCGACTGACCGGATTTTCGAAATCCATGTGATGTAAAATAAAAAATTAGCTTTGTGTGGTCTAAAGCGTTTACTTTTCCAAGATATCATGTATGATATCTCGGTCTCCACTTTGAACGAACACGATTTTCAATATCACAAGATCGAAGTATTGCTATATATCGTGCTTTGAATGTATCCATAAAAGTTGACAAGTTGGATCGTCTTTACGCTTGTTAGCTGAAATAGTAAAAGGGAACTAGTTTCATTGTTCATTCTTAATTCAGAATTCAACAAAAATAACAGTTTACTTGATTTGTTCGTTCTTAACTTAGAATTCAACAGAATAACTGTCAGAATAACTGTCCAAGGTCGAATGAACATTTTCCAAGTTTGTAAAAGTCATACTGATCTGTAACTTTGTGTCTAACATTTATGAACAGGTTTTAAGAAATATGTATAAGAATTTCAATGAAATAAATTTACAGCATGAACAATAGATTTATGAATCGAAGGTACCTTTTTTATTGTGCATTAGGATTTATACTCGAATTCTAATTGATTATGATTATATTTCTTATGCATTAACAACCAAGGATTATATTACGATCATACTCAAATTATCAAAACAGGACAAATCATAGGTTTTTAAGCATAATTATTTTGAGCCCTTATTTGTAATAATTTTCAAATATCGGACCTCTATCTGTAATTATTTTCATTTTGGGCCCTTATTTGTAATTATTTTCATTTTCAAGTCCTTATCTCTAAATTCCCCTTAACTCTTTTATAATAAATCCTGAATATAAAAAACGTGAAATTTTAATTATATTCGATAATTCGATGTCATTTGTAAGCTATAATTTAAATTAACAATTCATTTTAAATCTGTTCGCAATTATTATTCTGTAACTAAGTCTATGTTTAGAATTAATTCTGAACCAATAACATGGTTTTGACTCTCAAATAACAATTATGAAAGTTTTCCTTTACTTTATTGATGTGAAATTGCGCGTCTGGGCGTTATTTTGAAGTGCACAATTTCCAGAGAGCTAATAATTAATTTTGACAAATACATATAATAAATTAAAATCGGTAAAATTAATTCTTAACTCGGGAAATTGTATCTCGAGATAACGATCCGATAGTTATTTCGTGATAATGCGGTGGTACACAAAATAATAATAATAATAATAAAGGATTAGTAAGAGCATGAAAATAAACTTTGAAAAATTTTCGAAAAAGAATTTTCTGGGAGAATTAGAAGGTCAGAAATCATGTAACTGCACCCTCGATTGTTAGTAACGCGTCTAAAATTAATGTACGGAGTGCACCTAAAGTTTAACAATATGTGCGCACACATATGTCCTGAAATTATGGACACAATTCTCATTAAAATTCTTAAATTTATATATTTTTTAAGCATTGATGTGCACTATATGTATTATGAAGCTAACCTGTTAACTTGTCAAAATATGAATATTGAAATTAAAATATACCTTTAAATATTTATTGATTTCGGACTTGTATCAAATGTGAATTTGTTATAATAAAATGATCATACTAATTATTTTTTGGAACTATTTGTTATTTTGTTTGCGCATACTTAAAAAAAATTTAGGTTGCTGCAGTGCACCATGTTCTATATGTAATGTGCGGCCCGCCCACATTCTTCATGCTGAATTTTAGACATCAACAATATGGTACGTACGAGTAACCAGATCAGTATAGTACAGGCCGAAACTAAAAATCATGAAGGATTATATCTATAACATTGACAGTAGAGTGGTCCAATATTATAAAAAAAATTTTTTTCATGAACCATACACAGGTGAGAGATTAGTTGTGCGATATTGACTGTTCCCCTTGTTGTCTGGTCAGTAATACTTATACTGATCCGGTCACTCGTACCATGATCTTATGTAATTCCATTAGAAATTATTAACCAATTTCAGATCACAATAAAATTAATTATTTCAAACTCATATTTTTAAACTATTTCTGTTCTGAGTCATTTCACAATTTAGGTCGATTCCGAATTGACTAGGTCATTCATAAATTTTCACCGATTCAGAAATGACAGATCAATTTTTAATGAAACGCTACGAAATTTAAGGATCAGGGTGTGACTAATTATTGAGTGACAAATATGTATCAACTACTTTATTTTATATATAAATAAATTAGTTAGTTCATATTTGTCACACAAGTGCAATTTAAAGATCGGGTGTGACTAATTATCTAAGTGACAAATAATCGCCAAAAAATTTATTTATGTAAATAAATTAATCAGCAGTCATTTGTCACATCTAATGGGTCATCACTTGATCTCAAAACTTAAAAGAAATTTAGAACCCAGAATTATTACGTATGCTAAATTAATTAATGCAAAAAAAACAAATTAGTAAATGAATAAAACTTTTCGAATGTTAAACTTTATCGATAAATGCAACTTTTTTTACTTATTAATTTTTAAAATGGAAAGTTACGACCTTTTGGTGTGTGAAACCTTTGATCGAATATTAAAAGCTTTTATTCATCAAAGGAAAAACAATCGATGTTTAATGGATCAAAATAAATATAATCAATGTTTAACTGTTATTAAAAATCCCAACAACTTATATAACCCGAAGTTTAAATATTAAGTAATATAATTTTAAAATTATTTGCGTTGGTGCAACTGAAGAACTTTATACGATTAAATAACCTGGGGACGAAGGTTTGTCCTGTTGAAACCTTTTTATGCTTTAACGTGCATTTTTTTACTGTGTTTTTTTTTTTATTATTTATTTGTATTGCGCATTCTTTATTTATATGAATTTTTTTTTTTTTTTGAAGAATTAAGCATTTTTTTCGAATATAGCTAAATTTTATTAAAAAGAGCTTCAATAATATAATTAATACTATTGCTTGGATTATATAATTTATTGCTTGGGCCTATTATTTTAGATTTTTAAAAAATTCACCAATTGAGAAATGACCTAGGTCATTTCAAAATTTAATAATGACCTAGGTCAATTTAGAATCGACCTAAATTGTGAAATGACTCAGAACATTTCTACTACAAATATCTCATGCCGATTTTTAATTGTATTGATGATTTTGATTATTATTCTAGGTGAATTAAGTGTAAAAATTTTTCCTAAAGCTGACGCATAACCCTAAAAAGAAGTTTAAAAAAGTTTCCACAAAAATTATATATTTTTTAATGGCTTACCTATTTAACACTATAAAAATTTTCATTTTAATCTGCCACATTTATTAGGGTTAAGTATATACGCATTATACAGTGTCACTAATTAGCATTCATATTATAATAAATCAATACAAAAAAAATTAGAACTAAAACTATTACTATTTCGTAAGAACTAACTCAATCGTGTCACATAATACGCGTAGAGAATTTATATTGGTTTAGATATTTAAAAAATAAAATTTTGGATTGCTGACTCGACTGAGATATGAAAACCGATTATATAAATTTGTATGGTCTTAAATATAGAACAAGCAAGATTTACAATAGAACAATAGTTTTAATTAAATAAAACGTATGTTTTGATAAATTAAAGAATAAAATTACAAACTAATACAAATAAGACAAAATTATGCCTAATACTAAAAATGACAGTTTACATATCTCATATCCAGGCAATGCCTGGATATGAGAGCTAGTAGAAGTGTGAGGGCTAATGGGAGTGTAAGTAGAATTAACGGGAGTGTAAGTAGAATTAACCATACGTGAGTTTTTTACCCAAAGCAGTGCGCCCATATACTGTGGGCCAGTTTTTGTCCTATTTACATTTACATTAACAACAAATTTATACCAGTCAGGGATAAATTCAGCGTAAAATGCCCAAGGTCCATATAAAGAAGCTGTGGACGTATTATCATATGTACCATCCACTCTTGTTGCAAATGTTTTATTGTCAATATTTATTATATACATCATTGTGTTAGCAAGTTTAATCATAACATCAATGCTAACATTTAATTTATCTTTTCGTTGCCATGCGCGGTACATGCCCCAAATATCATAAAGTGAATGAATACCAATAGCTTCTGAAGAGTTAGATACCGTGGAATAAGTCCAATTATAAGCATCTAGGCCATTCTTAGTCTTAACTTGGATAAAATTTTTGACCATCCAATCAATAGAAACTTGTATAATATTAAAATATTTATTGACACGAGATGCATCATCTCCAATAATTTCATGGCATTCCGCCATTCTTAGAAATCCATTTGTCATCATTTGCTGTCTGTTCCAAGGCATTGGAGCATTTGCAGACATTTCACCAAGTTTATTCCATGCAGAAGAGTTTGGATTATAAATTTTCGAATCATTTTCACGAATAAAATACTTTAAATAATAGGTATCAATAGTCTTGTCCATTTCAGTCACGTATGTAAGCGCACGTTCTTTATATGTTGCACCATACTTATGAGGATCATTGTCTGTAACATTTACGTCCCAAAGACAAGGTGTTTTAAGGATATGATAAGCAGTGTATGCTATATGCCCAGCTGTATCAAGACCTTCGGAGCCGGCGTAACCAGAGAGTGTTCCATTATCAGGTTTTGTACACCAGACAAGCTCTCTTTTCCCTGTCCACATAATTCGTCCATTTACGGGATCATTTCGAAGTGACAAAAAAGTATCCGAATAAGTTATCATTCTATCAAGTATTTGAGGGTTTTGAGTAACTTCATAAACTAAACCTAAAGCTTCTACATCTTGACCAGGTTGCTTATCCGCTATCTCATTATCCAGCGCAGTTGTGGGTATTCTGTTAGGTTGTTCAAGAAAACCAATGAACAAATCAATTTCATTTTGGGTAACGGGTCCATCTAGGCTGACGATTGACATACTTTTATTACTAGGAGATATTGATGATGTTCCGGAAAGACATGTTTGCGCATATGCATTATGGTAAGAACCATTTAAAATAAAAAATAATAAGATAACTATACAATTCATTTTCTGAAGTTATAATTTTTGACAGAATTTTTCAAAAACAAATTTATTACATGTTTTAAGCCATAAATAAATATTTTTGTTTAGTCATTATAATCTTTTCAATACGATTATTCGGATCAATGAATAATGTTTAGTGCTAGACAAATCAAGTAAATTCAATAATTTTAAGTTTAGTTCATAATCTTAAATTTGACATATTTGAGAGCAAATATCACAAAAATTATTGGCCAAATTTTTATCAGAATATGAAACATGAAGAATAAATAATATTTATTGGATAGAGAAATGTAACTAACTTGATAAAAAAGTTTGTCCGAAGCAAGTATTTGAATTTTAACTCTATTTATTTATTTATTATCTTTTTAAAGGATAAAGCCGGTTAAAATTACTGATCTAATAATAGCTGGACAAAGATTTCTTATCGGTATTATTGTTGATTGCGCGAAAACTCATCTAATAGATTTATCTGACAGCTAACTATACGTACAATAATTAATTTAAATAAATTTAATTATGTAAAACTAAAATACTAAAACTTACAATAATAATCCCACATATTAATTCTCATTAATGATGCCTAAAAAATGGTGAAGCTTTTCGTCACTGAAACGGTTTCTTCAGGCAACTTCGAATTGACAAATGACGAATGACGAAACACGTAACAAATGAGGCATGAATTTTATATGATAAATGTAAGAAAAATTAAATGATTTACTCTTTGAGTCATTGAAAACTAGATAATGGAAATAAATTAGTCCATGCGAACTTAATTTTTTCATTATCATACAACAGGAGAGAACCGTTGATGTTACACGACTGATCCTTCACTCGGTACAGCATATTTTACAATTTCAGAACATTCCGCTAGTACATGTTATGATTATAATAAAATGGTGTTGATTATAATCATAACATGTAGTGGTATTGTAAAATACACACCGAGTGAAGGATTAGTCGTGTAACATCAACGGTTTCTCCTGTATTGTCAAAGTGTATCTACCCAGTTTTTGCTGTTTTGTTATATTTACCCGACATTACACGATGATTTGCATTACTCACCCAGATGTATCCGATATATCTGACGAAGAAGAGACCGAAAAAATTTAAGATTCAGAATGTTCAGAGGTCGTTATAATTAGAGATGCAGTCGAATTATCCCAATGATGGCGTAACTATATTAAATAATTATAAAAAGTTACAGCACATTTACTATAACTTTTTATAATTATTTAATATAGTTACGCCAAAGTTACAGCATCATTGGGATAATTCGCCTGCATCTCTAGTTATAATGGATCTTGATTAATGATTCTCAACTACATTTTTAATGGAGAAATTAATTTCGTCAATTTCGTCAATCGGTGGTGGTTTCATCAGACGAAACCATTGACGATGACGAAACCATTTCGTCAGCCCAAAATAGTTCGTCAGGAATCGTTATATCTACATATTTTCTGGTTTTATGTTACTTTTTTCTTTATTATGAAACGCATATTCAATATCACCCATCATCCGAAGTTATACGTTTCGGGATGAAAATCACCAACATTATTGATTTCAGATTTCACGTAATGTAAAATTTAAAACTAACTTTCGTATGAGCTGTTAATTTCATTGTATAATCAACTTTATCCGACGAACTCATGATCATAAATTTTTCCTGTCTGTTATTTTTTTCATGCTTACGAGATAATAATGTTTACTCGAATTAAAACTCAGCCGACAACTCCCTACCAATCATGAATAACAGTAATTTGGCTCAGTCGGACAAATGTTTTGCTGACACATGCTGCTTCGTAGCACATTTTCATTTGCCAAATTTTCAAATAATGTATACTTATTATATTATAAACTAAAAAAGATTTATTATCATCATTTAAAAATTTATTATTTTCATATTAACTTTACAATGAAACTAGTGTTTGGGCATGTCCTAACGTCCATACACAGAGACGGTGATTTTCTGTGTGGTTAAGATTAAATTCTGTGATAAGCCTTTTTACCAAGTTCTCTGGTGCTATTTTATTCTTCCTGTGATTTAATGCGATTATAAATAAAAAATTATTTACCAAAAATTTCCTAAATCATATAGTTTCGTAACTCCGCTCGTAATTTACGTTGTGAGACCTGAATGGACCCTGGCCGGTTGGGGTCCATCGCCAAATTCGGAAAAGGGGGTCGATCGCATCTGTCGCATCCGTCGCATGCGACCGATCAGTCGCATGTGACGCATGTGACGAATGCGAC